AGCCCCCTTAGACGAACTTTTTCAGTCAGTAACATTTTCATTTATGATTTTGTTTCTTGTAGATGTTAATATGATAATGTGCTGATTTCAGGTCACGAGAGAAATTGTGTCTTGTGATACAGCGTGATGTTCGTCGTGGGACGAGCAGGTGGCCTAGTCAAAATACGGTATATGAACGGGTGGGTTCGGTGTCGGCGACGCCACGACACAGTCCGAGCCCTATGATGCCGCATCAACCGCTATCACAGAGGTCAGTGATTTATGAATATAACTGTTTCGGAGAGTTCCAGAACAAATGTGGGTATTTACTCAAGGAGTTACCCAAGTAGGTCATAGCAGTGGCCTAGTAGAGAGTGGCAGGAGGCCAGTCTGTCATATTGCCACAAAATTACTGAAAACTTCAATTTTACAGATTCCTAGGGGGGTAAGCCTAGGAGGGAAGGGACTCTAAAGTTACCATGAATGTATTTCCATTATCTCAGGAGTTCCCTCACATACTATCCTTAGGCGTAAACGCGGAGAGTGAATTCATGGGTTGCCGTCACTCTGATGCAACAGGAGAGACTGGTTCCCTTCCCCCTCCCACAGATACAGCGCCGTGATGGTTATTCTCAGCTATTGTGCACAGATGTTTAGTTGGAAATGTTCAATTCATCACGGTGATGCTTCTTCTATCCTACTACCGGCACTTTGTCCCTAGCACACGCACCAACTAAGCATTGATTGTTACTGACTGGTGCGCTTGAACAACCGATATCCCCTCTAAATGCACACCTTGATCGAGCAGGTTCAATCGGAAAAGCGTCATTTTCTCGAATAGAAATACAATATTTTCTTTTTTGGGCATCGCTTTTGTAATCAGATTTGATTCTGTGATCTAGGACAACCCATTTTTTATTGAAGTCCAATTTTTATTCGGTGAATTGTTTGAAATATTCACTACGATGCCTCGCCATAATGTGCAATCAAAATTCTTTACGTATACAGAATTCATGCCTACGGCTGAGTCATAAGTGGCAGCCGTCTCCGAACGATTGTTTCACATTTTTGGGGACCTCGAGATAGATGAATCACGTCCGCTGTGGGTTTCTCGCATGATTACGGGGTGTAACAAAGATTGTAAAGGGCGACAAAATTGTAATAGTAGTGTGAATTTGAGACATAGGGGAAATCGATATTCGTGAACGTAGACTTTCATCATTCACTATCATCTCCATACTATAATTAGAAGATCAAAAATTTATAGAAATCGTTTCCGAAAAATTCTTGCATTCCCAACACTATTGTGTTACTTGCGATCACTAGGGAACAACTTATAAAGTTTACCTCAAGAAGATTCACTTCCGAAGAGTAACAAGCTCAAGAAAACCACAGTTTGGGGACAGTACGGGTAGGTTGGGCGGAGAAAAGGGAATGCATGGGAAGAAGTGTGCCTTGGAGCGGCCATGTATCAAGCGATGCATCGAAAGAATCGGGTACGTTTCAATTTTGGAAATACGAGATTTTAAAACGATCCGCGAACAAGATGCATAATAAGGATAAAAGGAATGTTGTTGTCATAGGTGGAGAGGGGGAAAGGCCGAAATGAGTCCATAGTGAATCACTCCGAGGGCCAAGTGATAATCGTTGCCTTGTCGCCCATACACTTGGTTTGTGATCAGATGTACGGCGCAATATGAAGCGTACACCAACCTTTGGGCTGTTTCGAGTTGTTTGCGAAAACAAAAGCAATTTTTATATTCTTTTTTTTTGTTTCCATCGTGAATGATGGGTCTCAAGGCAGTGATTAATGGGTGAGATGGAATCATGGCTTTCCCGTGGACGATTCCTTTGATCAAACCCCAATGCTTTTCCTTTACTCTTTTCAGCTTTTCCCACTGCAATAACTTCTAAAGGTAACTTGTGCAGATTCAGGGGTTTGTATTATAGAGAGAGTATGAGTTTTGTTAGCTTTTTTGTATATTATTGATCAAAGTAGTGTGCTCTTTCCAAGGTTATGTTCAGTTTTAGATCTTCGCACGAATACATTAACTCACCACGTTGGCGAGATGGAAGTCTGGTGGACGAGCGTCGTGTGTCAAGCCCAGCGGTGTCCAGCTTGGGAGCAGTTTCGGCGCAAAATGCCCCCTCATCAGGAGGCGCCCATGTGCAACCGCAGCCATTTCCGATGCCTGTGGGAGAGTATGAATACTATAGTAGGCAGAAAGCGAAGCCCGATCAGAACGGTGTGAGGACGGTGAACTTTCGGAAGGTGGGTTGTCTTTCACACACAGCTGTTATTTTTGACATGTGTTGACTTACAACCAAAGCAGTGACTAATTTCGTGCGGTTACAAGTTCGCTTCTTCACTCAATCTCTACTAAACTTTTCTTTTTGATTCGAATTATTGGTACCCAAAAACTTCTTAAGTTAGACGTATGTCCAATCTTGGCGCTATCGCAAAATGCAGGGGCATCTCCTAGGGCTATGCCCAGAAGGAGGCAGGAATTGGGGGAAAATGGAAATTGTTTACGCACCCTGTAGTCTCTCCTCCTCCGCCTAGGGCTTAGTCCCATTTTAACAAAAAGTGATGCTTTACGCGGGTTTCTGAACTCATTGCCACCACAATGCCCCCGTATCTTGCGATAGCGGCCAAAATCTCTGAACTTTGTCTTCTCCAAGGAGTTGCAAAGTTGTGATAGAAGTTTGAAATGGTGGGGAATTTTGCTCATGCACTGGCATTATCAGCATGAGACCAGAGGTAGCATGCCCCGGCTGGGGATGGGTCCCCTAAACTGTGCGCTTCTACTCCGGTCGATGACGTCTTCATGATCAAAAGTAGGGGGATACATCCAGAGTGCAGTTTTGAGAACCCCAGCCGCCTGCTGCAAAAGGGCCTATGGCGATACTAGATGAGTTTCTCAGGAGTGTGCCACGCATTTGTCTCTCCGAAAAAGGTTGCGAGCTTTGGATTAAGTCTGCTTTCTTGTTCTGTGGTCTACATTTCATTGAAATTCATTTGTGCCCTGTCCTGGATATTGCATTGGCGTAGCGTTTTATGACTATTTTTGAACTGATAGAAGTAGTAATCGGTAAAATTGAATTGTTATGATAGAAGTAATAATCGGTAAATGAATTGTTAAAGGCAAGATTCAGGATTGAATTATGAGGTAATTCCACTCAAATGTGAAAGTAGGGGTAGGAGTGGACCGCCAGTGGAGAAAAAAATCGTGAAATGCACAGGAAATACGAGCCTTTTGCTCTACGCTGCGGAGAAGTTCAAAAGGCCGGCAGGGAGATGAGAGATAATGTGAGCGCGGAGAGCGCTAGAGAAGTACGAGTAGAGAGAGCATAGCAGATCAAAGCGACGCAGACAAGATATCGAGCGGTGGGCGGAGCGTGTCGCAACAGGTGGAGCGTGTCAAAGTTCTTAGCGTCTAAAAACGCTTTTCGAAGTAGGGAAGTGACGCGACCTCTACACTTGCGTACCTAGCGCTTCTAGCCACCGTAAAGGCTCATTAAGTGGGTCTGAGCCCGAACTTTGCCTTTAAGTTAGGCGATCGTGTGCGTGGTGTTTATGATGCCCTAGCCCTAGCCCTGCGTAAATGCGGCATCTGTGATATCAGGGACCGAATATTTATTTTTGCGTTTTAATAGGACTTTCAGTAGTCAGTACTGCCAAGATTGAATCCTTGGTTCAGAAATCTCATTATTTTTTACAGGTCGGCGGAAGCGTTGGAATTCGCGTAATCGGTGGGAACGAAGTCGGCATTTTTGTTTCGGCGGTGGCGGCCGATTCACCGGCGGCTCTGCATGGTGTTTGTTGTGGGGATCGTATCGTTGAAGTAGGTTTTTTTTTTGAAAAATGTACTGCAGGGGCTAAGAGGTTGTTACGTGATTCTTGTAGTGGCAGTGATAATTCAACAATATTTCCATGAGAAATCATACG